ACTCAAATTTGTGATGATCATTGACACATTGATTTTATGATTAATATGGTGTCCTGCAGTTCTGAAAACTTTGACCTATGATTATACAATATTCCCCTGTTTTCCCCCTCAAAAAAAATCTTTCTGCTGCACTTCTCTCATAAATGATGATCTGTGACACAATGATCCAAATGATTTTTATTGTGTCCTGCAGTACTGATATGAAATTCCTTCTTTACCACTCAAACTTTTGGTGATCTGTTACACTATGATTGAAATGATTAACATTGTGTCCTGAAGTTGTGAAAACTTTGGCCTCTAAATCATAAAAACATTACATGGTTTTCCCCTGATATGATTATCTATCTGCTGCATTTGTCTCATTAATGATGATCTGTGACACGATGATAGAAATGATTGCTATTGTGTCCTGCAGTTCTGAAAACTTTGACCTATGATTGGACCATATTCCGTTGTTTTCCGAAAAAAAGATATCTTTTTGCTGTTTAAAAGATTGCTGTTGTGTCCTGTAGTGCTGATATGATTTACGTACTTTGCCACCTAAATTTGTGATGATCTTTGACACATTGATTTCATGATAAATATTGTGTCCTGCAGTTCTGAAAACTATTGTTAAGAAATATTCTGCTGTTTTCCCAAAGAAAGATAATCTTTCTCAGACCAAAGTTATTTTTCTACTGCAGTTAAATATCCATAATGATCTGTGACACCATCATGGATTGCTGATTAATAAACATCTGAGTTGTTTTGTTTGTTCTTTTAAGGTCTATTTTAATTTGTTCTCTTCTTTTTTTTCAAATAGCATTGCGCTGGTGAGATTTTCTAACCACCCTGATCAGCAATTTATTGTTGTGGGAGTTTCCAGAGATCTGCAGCTAAATCCCAGGCAATATTCTGCTGGCTATCTCCTTACATACAGGTGAAGTTTAAGCGTACCACTTTCCCCAATAGTTACGTGTTTATGCATCAATAAATAATATTTATTTATTTTTACCTCCAGTGTTGATGTTGACTGCACAAGTATGGAATTAGTCCATAAAACTGTTCTTGACGAAGTTCCACAAGCACTTTGTCCATTCCAAGGAAAACTACTCGTTGGAGTTGGTAAAATGCTCCGGTTGTATGACATGGGAAAAAAGAAATTACTCCGAAAGTGTGAAAACAAGGTATTTAAAAAAATTGAAAATAATGTTCAGTCTATAGTTGTTTCATCTGATTTTTTTTGTAATCTCATGACTTTTCTCTACAGCACATTCCTAATTTAATTGTGAATATTCAAGCTATGGGCAACAGAATATTTGCATCAGATGTTCAGGAGAGTGTGTACTTAGTGCGCTACAAAAGACAAGAAAATCAACTTATAATTTTTGCTGATGACACTCATCCTCGCTGGGTCACAACCAGCACTGTTTTGGATTATGATACTGTTGCCTTGGCTGACAAGTTCGGCAACATATCTGTGGCAAGTCTCTATTGAGTTTAATGAAGTGACACTTATGTTGGCAGAGTTTAAATCTAAATTTAATTATTTTAGGTTCGACTAACGAGTAGTATTAGTGATGATGTGGATGAAGATCCCACAGGTAACAAGGCTTTGTGGGACAGAGGACTGCTAAATGGTGCTTCACAAAAAGCAGACTTTGTTGTTAACTACCACGTTGGAGAAGTATGCATGTCGTTACAGGTAATTGTTATTTTCATGACTTGCTTGTTTTCTAATTTTTTGTTTTGTTTGGACTCTTTCCAATGTCATGTTCTTTGGTTTTTTGTAGAAAGCTACATTAATTCCTGGTGGCAGTGAGTCTCTGGTTTACACCACTGTATCTGGAACTGTTGGTGTCCTCGTTCCTTTCACTTCACATGAAGATCAGGACTTCTTCCAGCACCTTGAAATGCACATGCGTTCTGAAAACTCACCTCTCTGTGGGCGAGACCACCTTTCCTTCCGATCGTATTACTTCCCAGTTAAGGTAGGCTGTTAACTTAAAGATGTTTTCTCAGTATTAAAAGAAAGTATAGAACCTGAAAATACTGCTCTTTTGTGTATAGAAAAACTGACTCCTCCAATTTATTTTTACAGAATGTCATTGATGGAGATCTCTGTGAACAATTTAATTCTATTGACCCCACCAAACAGAAGAGCATAGCAGAAGATTTAGACAGAACAGCTAATGAAGTTTCCAAAAAACTGGAAGACATAAGGACAAGATATGCTTTCTGATTTCTCATTATTTCTCATTCCTTTTCAATTGTACAGTAGCACCTGCAGACAAAACATTGTTTGTGGCTCATGTGTTTTTTCAAACAAAAGTTATATGTAATTTATCATTCTTGTACATAGGTTCATTCATCAAAATAATTTTGCTCCTGGCAGTCATACATCCACTCCCCCTTCTCTTGTGTGATAATTGTATGTTTAGTTTTAATTACAGCTTTGTATATATTTACGATCATATTGTTTTTAGTTTCCCTTCCTGTGTTTTGAGTCAGGCAAATGTTACCTAATGTTATTCATTCAATCAGGCTTTTTGTACAAATTTTGTATTATGAGCTTCCCTACTGGTATGAAGAGCTAATGATATGGTTTAGTAGAATCAAATTTTAAGCAGTAAGGTTGCCAACCAAATTTTAGACTTTCAGGAGACTCAGGCCTTGGTATGAAATATTTTCCATTTGGACACCTTCCAGAGGTATCTGAAGTAATAATTTTAACACAAGTAACATGAATTATTTTTATTTTAATCATGTGAAAGTTGTAATTTGTTCATAAACTCAATTATAACATAATAAAACATTAGGAGCTACCATAAGATTTGTAATGAGTCAACACAAATTTACATCCAAAATTCCCTGTTCAATCACAAGCTTTAGCTGCATACATTTCATGAGCTTCCAATATCTTTTCTAGACATAATCAAAATAAATTTTCTTCAAATTTGTTTAAACAGCAGCATGTGGAGACGTGGGGTTCCCTACTAAGTTTAACCATTGCCGCCATGGCGCCTAAGGTAGGCAATAATGCATCACTATTATTGTGACCTAGCCCTTACACAAGCTACATATAGTACATAAAAGCTAACAAGGGCTGAAAAGTAGGTCATTAAGCTGAAATATCTATCTAGATCACAATTATGTCAAGTGATTAATTAGCTGGGTCCCCCTTGGATTTCTTATTGGAGTTGAGATCAGAAGGTCCAGTATCACATGGAATACTCTGGATTTTCCATCCCTGAGCTGTAAACCCTTGATACTCGGAGTTTGATGTGAGAGATGAAACACCAACAGTTGGATCTACTGTTTTCAGTTCTGATTCTTCTTCACTATGACTATGAGCAGTGGTCAAACTTACTACTGGAGGTGAACTTCCCTCACCCGAGTCACCTCCTGGGCCAGGAATGACAGGCTTCATGGGAGAGGGTAACAACAATTTCGATGTTGGCGATTCTGAAGTGTCAAGCAAAGAAGCAGGTCCAGTTTCTTGTGGTATGCATGAGCTATTTTCCTTCTGCTCTGGCATTGAAACAAAAGATGGATGAGGAGACAGTCCTGCACTGCTATCTGAGCAAGTGTCAGAAATATCAATGTCATAATTAACAGCTGACAAGCCCTGCAACAAACAAAATACTTCTGTGTTGAAAGTAGGCTTTCCACATTTGAAAAAGTAAAATGGTTATTAATGTTCTTACTTGGACAAAATTAAGGCTAGCCTGCGCTGCACACAGCTCATCGGGAGTGGCCAGTTCATCAAGGGAAGAGAAGCCATACGTCGATGACGGTGTGAGAAGAAACTCCTGCGAATCTGAAATGGGAAGTGGTAACACCCCATCACCTGGTGTGCTGTCAGTTCCTAGAGCATCTAATTCAGAATCTGATGGGAATGCATATTTAGTGATGCCAGGTAGATTCAAAGCTTCTTTCTCTGAAGCCAAAAAACTTGTCAGCTTTTGGGATCCACCTGCAATGACCTGGGTGTTCAGAGACATTAGAAATTAAAATTCACACCATGAGGAACACAGATTTTACATGAAAAACAGACAGTAGTGTAGCTACGCAATACAATCTCACCTGAGGCGTGATTGGAGGAGGAAGTAGTTCAGATAATGGGTTCTCTGTGTCTATGTCTGTAGGTACCTTTTCAGAACTATTAAGTGTAATTTGGGTTCTAGCTAAAATATCCTCAACATTTAATTTCATTTCAAACTGAAAATAATTAAATTTTAATTTAACCACATGTACTTGTTTACTACATGTTACTTGATTTCTAGTAAAACAATATAACTTACCACAAACTTTTTCATTGTATTCTGAAGTAACTGAGTACCTTCAAGAACTGAATCAGCACGTTTGTGCATGTCATCCAGCGCAGCAATATGTTCATACATCAATGAAATACCCTTTAAGACAAGCAAAAAATTAATTCTTTTTAAAAATAGTTTTTGGCTAACTGTAGGAAATGTGTAACTCAAATGAGAGGGACTGTAAACTGTAAGCACACTGGACTGACCTCATACATCATGAGTGCTGAATCCCACGTACTTGTAGGTACAACTTCACCAGACATGTACTGTTCAAACTCAAGTTCGGGTAAATTTAAGGACTGTGCAGTCATGTTTTCAATAAATGATACAGCACAGCACTGGAAGAAGGATTTCAAATCAAATAATATTTCAAATTACTAGTATTTTTTAGATACAAATCTTGATAAGTCAATGAGATAACAACTTACCAAGTTTGTAAAGTAGTAACCACCTTCCCCTGTCATCAAACGACTTGCATTGCAAAATCGTGTGACAAAATTAATATTACTCTTTAAACGAGCAGGATTTGCTTTTAACACTATAAAGATAAGGGCTGGCAGGAACTCATCAGCACTTGCTGGTCCTCCAACAGATGATTGTAACAACAAAAATATATTGCGACAGCATTTCACAACTGCTTGTAGTTTGTCTTGGGGTGCCTTTTCAGAATCCATTCCCAGGAGATCTAAAATTGATTTTTTGTTTTACTTTAGTAACAATAATCAAGAGGCAGATGAACTGACACGAATTGGTAATTAAATTCAATACGTGATAAAGAACTAATTACCTGTAATGGAGGTATAAACTAGATCACGAACTTCCTCACTTGTTTCATTAATACGGCAGTCAAGGTGTTTAGCATTCACCCAATTCAACTGCCGTATCCTCTTTTGAATAGCGAGATCTTTTTCTTCATCTGTTGTAGTTGGTGGGCAAAATAGATTGCGATGCAAAACAGTCATCGTGAA